GTACCACACTTTCATCTATTGGATTTCACATTAAACGGCTAAAGTGATTATGATATTTTTATTCAAAAATTACATAATTATGGTCTCATAGTATACAATCCTTGTTATTTAGTTATGCTTGGATAGAGGGTGATTTTTTCATTCACTCCCCAATGACAAATAGCATGATAAATTACCTTGAATGAAGTATAATTTTACAAAAGGGTGTGATTTGTATAGAGCCAAGGCTCTAAACAATCAAAGTAAAGCCCGCCTTCAAATAGAGTCGATAAATGTGTTTTAATATTGGAAATCTTTAGGATAACTTTAAAATATATTTTGATCTTTAATTATAAAATTTAAAGCTTCAAAAATAGTATAGATCGAGCGGATCTATGAAAACTTGATAATCTTGAAAACTGACGATCGAAATCTTTTTTTTTCTCATATCCATGCATTTTGATGTCGAAATAATTAATTAGAGGATATTTGAGCATTAGAACAACCTCTTCTAGTGAAATTTTTTAGATGGGCTCTAATTTGATTGTTTAGAACCTTAGCTCTATATAAACTTTTTCCTTTGCAAAAAGATAAACTTATACATGAAATAATCTTGCATAAATTGCATAATAGAAACCGTAAATTATCAACGATAACAAGAACATCTGATAAATAAGATTTATAGAAAATGAGAGAAAAGGCATAAACCTTCACGTCAAGCTTATTTATCTATTGTTTTAAAATATCATAGAGGGTGCGGTTTGTATAGAGCCGAGGCTCTAAACAATTAAAGTAAAACATACCTTTAAATAGTATCGAGAAATGTGATTTCAATATTGGAAATCTTTGTGATAGTCTTAAAATATATTTTCGTCTTTAATTATAAAATTTAAATCTTAAAAAATAGTGTAGATCAAGCAGATCTATAAAAACTTGAAAATTTTGAAAATTGACGGTCAGAAAATACGCTACAAGATTCACTATTTCCAAAATTTGAAATCTATTTTTTTCTCATGTCCATGCATCTTGATGTCTAGATTATCAATCTTAGGATATTTGAGCATCAAAACAACATTTTCTAGTGAAACTTTTCATGTGCGCTCTAACTTAATTGTTTAAAGCCTCAGCTCTATGTAAACTTTTTCCAATTATAGAAGGCTTAAAGGGCTAGTTGATCAGAAACTAGTATATAAACCTAGGAAAAGGCTTTGGCGATGAATGATGATATACACCCGAGGATATTAAACTTAGAAAGTCATAGTCTTTATTTTTTTTACAAATTAGAGAGTTCAAATTCTTTCTATCTATTGAAGATAAATTTACATCAAAATCTAGTCTAGATGGTGGAGGAGGCTTGAAATTTACTAAAAACTAATATGAATATGGGTTTGAGGAAAATGAGGACCTTGATCGAATCAGAAAGTAGTGGGGACTGACTCGGTTCCTTGACAAACTACGAATCGATATGTTTTATCGTTACCTACTCAGTTCTATCAAAT